ATTTAAAGGGGTTAATTTAAATTAGTGCTGTAGTCAAACGTTTAACCGTCCGGTATCCGACCGCCCATGGCGGATTCCGTTTTCAATTGGACGGTTTCGTTTTCCCGTTTTTTTTTTTTTTTTTTTTTTTTTAATAATTTTTTTTTTTTTTTTTTTTTTTTTTTTTTTTTTTAAAAGTTTCGATTTATGCCCCTCCACCTGGCACTATGCCTGGCAATGTCTTCCAGCTCAGTAATCGGTGTGATGACTTACCACTTGGAAACTAGAACAACACTCCAATTTGTCTGTCATCTTGGTTTGAAAGTAATCTTTGTAATAGATCTCAATATATATTCATCCAAGTTTAACACATGGTGTACCACAAGGTTCTATCCTAGGTCCTCTACTGTTTTTAATTTACTTTAATGATCTTACATATTATTCTAAAACGACATTGTTACTATTATTTGTGACTAGTTCACAAGCACAAATCGGCGCCTTCAGTTAAATCACCTTCCTGCTTTTTCACACGGCCAAAAAAAAAAAAAAAAAAAAAAAAAAAAAAAAACGATTTTTTTTTTTTTTTTTTTTTTTATTTATTTATTTATTTTTTTATTTTTTTTTTTTTTTTTATTTTATTTTTTTTTTAAATAAATCGTTTAACCGAAAACCGTCCGGTTTTGACAGGCGGTTAAACGGAATTGGAGATATCCGTGATGTTACAGCACTAATTTAAATGAATAACTATGAATTATTTATTACAATTGCTCCTATATTTGTACATAAATCGCTTTGTTTAAATCAAGAATTCACATTCAAGATAACCCATCTAATTTCTTGCGCTTTTGACATAATAATACAATTAAATGCATCACAAAATATAACAAAATATATGTGAATAAATTGTCCCTGGTGGTCAACTAATCATTGGAATAATGAGTTTTATCGCATATTCTAGTTCACAAATGTATTAAAATACATGCATGTTACTAGATTGGATGATACAGTAAGTATGTCATAGCAACAAGCCAACGACCAATAGACGTAACATGCGTTTTACTATTGAAGTTGAAATTGAATACCTGGTATATTAACGTTTGAATGTAGTCAAGAATTGAATACAATTTAAAAACGAAGATTAATGCATTAATAAATTTTAAAAAAGATTGAAAATAATGAACATGAGTTTAGCGGGACATCATGCACTCTAGAAACTGAAATTTTAAATCACCATTTAAAAGGGCCGAGGAGTGACCACTCTTTCAAAAAGTCAGATTGATACTTTTAACATGCAGGATTCAACCGTTTATAGTGTTAGATTCTGCAATCTGCATGTTCAAAGTGTTAATCTACCATTTTGAGAGAGTGGTCATTCCTCGGCCCTTTAAAATGGTGATTTAAAGACCGTCAATACTACTGGGCCAGAAGGGATTAAACCACACAGCGAGGTCACTGACAGGTGGCTATCTCATTAACTCAGCTCTAAACTCACATAAGAAAAAGAGGATCATGGGGGACCAACAGGCACCGATTGGGGAAGTTTTATATATAGAGGGAGCAAGTAGCTACTAGTAGGACATTGGGGCTTTAACATTTCAGTTTTTAGAGCGTGGTATGAGAAGGGGTTCGTAGAAGAAGCTTCCATAAATGTGAATGTGATATTGTCCATTACTTAATATTACGTAATAACGTTTAGGTTATAATATAACGGGGGGGGGGGGGGCAAGATGTGAAATGAAGAAATGCGTTTTTAAGGAACACTACGTATAAGTCATGTTCGCTTCCCAGTTGTTGAGCGCTAGCCAGGAAACTGTCGGTATCAAAGCCAATTACATTTTGAAAAATTCAAAGCACGTGACGTAAATTCATCCACTTATGATTTAGCCTAACTATTGCCAATTTTATCCCTAAAAAAGTGAAGAAAAAAAATTTGAAATATTTTTAATTTGGATTTGGTAAAGAATGGCAGCGTGGATGAGAAAAGACGACCTATACATGTATGTCATAATCTTAGTTGAAAATGTGCTGGGAGGGGGGGGGGGGGGGGGCTTCTCTACAACCCGTACCCTCGGGTCTCTCCTTCCGGTGTATATATTGATTATGTGTGCATTTGTGTATTTCACATCTCAATGAAAAAGTCATCATTCGGCAGAAATATATCATTTTTATATGCATCTGCCCATGACATTTAATATTAACCAATCTCAATCGGGTATTAGATTATTGGTCTATAGAAATGGAATTATCGCGAATTATTCATCTATTCTTTCTCAATGATTACGTATTGAGGGTAAATTTGAAGCTTCGTACAATTTTCAGATTCATTAAAATACATGTAGAAAGATAAATTGCACGATATATATTTCAGACTTCTGATATTAAGTCGATGCGACAGGTGCACCGTCAATGGAAAACTAATAGTAATCAGGCAATTATATTTTTTCCTGTACAGTATTTGATATTTTGATAGCGCTACAGGAAATGGTATTTACCATAGAGGTGATTTGCAGTGGAGTTGGAAATTCATAGTGAATAATGCAACTGATCATGATATTATGATGCATTGGACAATATTACAGGAATGTTTGTAAACTTGTTATACTTTACTGAAACGTAGCTGTTTCCCCGGAAACTACTTTGTAAAAAGGGAATCGATTTTCTTTTTTTTTTTGCACCAAGGTGTGTTTATAAGCACAGCTGTTCTGTTCCCAATGTGTGACGCAGTTAAAACAAACTAAATGTGGATTTATTTTCAGCGATTTAATCAGCGTTAGATAAATGTTAACGGTAGTCAAATATTGTTTTAATAAGAGAGAAGTGCTCATTGACGTAAAGGGTGTAGTAGCAATCAAACAGTCTGTAATTACTAACAAACGTCGGATGTCTGGTTTATGAATGCAAACATTCTCTATAAAAGAATATATAGCAGGGAAAGTTTGGAGGGGCGTAGTCTGTTCCAGGTTCATCAATAAATTACTCGGTGTCTCTATCTATAGTACTGTTTTGTTGATAAAGCGATTAAATATTAACGTATGATATCCTGTTCTTTTTCTTTATTTTGAAGAATAGTCAGACTTGGGAGGGGCTGGTTGCATATTACAATACAATGATTGCATACCTGAACAGAGTGACTATCCGCCATGAAAGCGTTTTTAGTTATTCATATTAGAGCAAATGTAACTTACATATCCACTTCAGTCACAAATGGACATGTAGCCTACCCTGCGAAGTTTATTCCTATAGACATTTAAGGCTAGTTTATACCAGTGTCCGACAACGTGTCAACTTCCGATTAATGCATTCATCCCCCCCCCCCCCCGCACAAATCTTCAAGAGATCGACGCCCACGTCTTACGTATAATTATGTAATATGAATCATAGCAAATCTATCTTTGTTTGCCTGGATCTCCTTGTAGCCGAATTGAAAATCTGCCGATCCCTAAACAGACAATTGCGTTATTACACACTTTTATTTTTGTAATTAATTTTACAAAAGTTTTTCAAAACACCCACTAGGTATGCAAGGTTTGGGATCTGGGATAGGTCATTGCGCGGTTAAATAGGCCCCCGGTCGATAATCCAAAGACAGATTGCGCATGAAACTATCCGAGTCGCCTACGCAATCAAATGCTGATCAAACAATGATCGGTAAACACTTTCACAGCATGCCATTAGATGTACTGTAATTCCCTATACCAATATTAGGCCGACAAGGGTTCGGTTGAACTACCAACTTATGGTGCTTTTTGTTTTATTTACCTAATGAAGATTCAAAGTTTGAAACCGTACTATGAGAAACGATCCGATTTATATTGAATTTATATTTAAAAAAAGCTTCAAAATATTTACTGTTTAAATGAGCATGGTCTGATCATGTAGTTGGTAAACCTGCTTTGTTTTGGTTTGACCCACCGACGACCCGCACCACCCTCTTTCCAAGCGATCAAAAGGCGCTCAAACAAAACTCCGTTTTGAAAGGGAGAGCCCCGATCCATCGCCGTTATATCAAGTCCCTGGTTATATTGATTAAATTCACAATAGTTATTGGTTTCTATAATTATAAGCCGTGTAATTGAGCACTAACGTTACTTTTACTTGAAGAAAAAATGTCATATCATCAATAGTAGGCTTGTGTGAAGATGATTGCATAACTAACGATCTGAAACTGTTGTAGCGATGACTCGTTTTCTTCTGCATCATCTCCGAGCTGGGGACAAAACCAGCTTCCTCCGGTGGGAGAGTTTCTACTTTCTAACCGCCCGGAAACGAATCGTCTGAGCAAGTGAACATCTTCCTTCCTCCCTTTGCCCTGCTCACTTTGCCCCTGCCTGCCCTTGATCAATGGAAAGCTGGTGATTCAGACTTTTCAGAATACGAAGGGACGACAAAGAAAGAAAAAAAGAAAATCAATACTAAATCACTAAAGCCCACTCTCGCGCGCTCAAACTGTCTTGCTGGCTCTCGTTCAAAACAACCTTCTCTAAGCGCGAGGACTAGTTTACTTATACAACAAATTAGTATGAAGATTGTTTTCATGTTTTATATGAATGCGACCGTGTCCGTTCGGGCTAAATATTTATAGTTATTTCTTCAATATGAAGTGGCGTGTGAAATGTGTAATTAATATTTTTGGAAACAATAAATGAGTAACCATCAGTGCATGACCTTTTAATATACTCTTGTTTATTTGTTAAACATTACGTGGGTGTGTGTGTGTGTGTGTGTGTGAAATGATTTTTTTTGTTATGGTTTTTGAAGTTTGATCACTACATATAGATCACTTTGAACACACTGCCAGATTGTAAAACAGAATAAGACATCTCTCTTTATTGCAGAAGTGATCTTATTGAATTGGAGTGGAGGCAAGGAGAAAATGCCCTTCAAAGTTTGATGAACTTTTACTCAACTTTTCCCTGAAACATATTACTTTTTTTAATGCATGGGGAAACAAATTTAAATTGCTGATGATACAGCTGTATTTCTATAACATTCTTTTCTTTTCTTTTCTTCTGAACGTGTAGAGACCACTTGATGGTGGTCGCTCTCCCGACGCTCTGATTGAGAAACCAAACTTCAGGAATGGAACTAATGATACTGATGGAAAGTACGTAAGTCTGAATGATGTATCAGACATTGATCCGTATAACGATGAAGAGGACCAAGCTCGGGGGAAATGGGGAAGCAAGATTGACTTTCTCCTGTCCTGTGTCAGCTATGCTGTTGGAATCGGCAACGTTTGGAGGTTTCCTTTCCTCTGCTATCAGAATGGAGGAGGTATGTTCTATATTTATAAGACAAGAAGTTTTAAGAGAGGGTATGAAGACTGGAAGCATATAGCCAACATGACGAGACAGATTAAATTTGAAATAGATTTTCGTTCAATCAGGGTGTTCTTGTCTTTGTTACCCATTATAGTCCCAGGCCTTTTCCGGTCTTGAAACTTCTGTTTAATATTTAAACAATGACAGACAGACTTTTGCTTTTCATATGGAAGGACCCTACTATAGGAAAACACAAAGGGTCTTTGTCATGTTTTATTCTACTGACGGCATTTCCCCATATTCAATGAAAGGAGTAGACATACTATTACACCTAATATAATCTCATAATCAGTACTAGTATTAAACGAATTAATGCTCCCATTGGGAAACCAAACCCACCTTTATCTCTACTTTTTTTTGGCTTCATTCCAAAATAAACTTATCCTGTATTTATATGTGATCATTCAACCGATTATATTTAAGAATTCAAGGTCTGTTGAACGGAGAGGTGTGTCCATAAGATGTGGGCTGGCTGAACCGAAGCATACAAGTAGAGTAGATAATCATTAATCGTGCATAGCGTGCCATGAGAATGAGAGGGGCCAAGGCACGATGGTTGTGATGAATGGGGACCATTCATGACATGCAGGCGCGTACGCAGGGGGGGGGGGGGGGGGGGGGGGGGTTTGGGGGGTTAAACCCCCCCCCTTTGGAAATTTTTTGTGTGTAAACCCCCTAAAAAAAACCTAAAACCCCCCCCCCTTTTGGATTTTTTTTTTTTTTTTTTTTTTTTTTTTTTTTTAAATTATTAAAAAAAAAAAAAAAAAAAAAATTATTCCCATGGCCGACCTAAAAAAGGTGACCTTACCCCCCCCCCAACGGAGCAAAATGTCATATTTCCAAATTTCGAGACCAAAAAAAAAAAAAAAAGTGTCCTCTTACCCCCCCCCCCCCCCCCCCCCCCCCGCTTATTCAGCGGTCGGCTGAGTCGTTGCGATTTTTTTGGACCAAAAAAGAAAAATGTGTCCTCTTACCCCCCCCCCCCCCCCCCCCCCCCCCCCCCCCCCCCCCCCCCCCCCGCTTATTCAGCGGCTGGCTGAGTCGTTGCGAAATTTTCGGACCGATTTATAAATGTTAAAACCCCCCCCTTGAAAAAATCCTGCGTACGCGCCTGATGACATGTGAAGGGTGTGAAACGTTCGAGTGGCTTTAGGAATTATTATCTATTGATGCTGCCGTCTGTCTAGACTGGCAACCATATCATATTTAATGCTGCACTCAGCAATATTTTTAGTATTACTTTTAGCATTTTTAACCTTTTTAATGTATGTTACACAAAGTCATAGAAATGTATGCAATGGAACAACAAAATCATATTGAGTGAGATTTAAAGGTAAACAAAGAATTGTGTCAGTGGTTGCTTCTTCGTAACTGAAAATTGGGCATTTTGCTGCCATGTAGGGCCAGCTCTTAACAAGAATGTGGAGACCAGAATATTAGAGATTATTTGTCAACATTGGCACAATTTATAGAGGGATTAAACAAAAAAGGAAAATAAACCAAGTGGGTCAAAAGTATCATACATTGTAATGTTTAAAGTTTGATGAAATATAGAGATTACTATGTTTGTTTTGTTGACTTTTTATTTGATTACAGGAGCCTTCTTGATCCCCTACATTCTAATTCTGTTTTTGCCGGCCTTCCCTTGTTTCTGCTTGAGATGAGCTTTGGTCAGTTCACCGGTGTTGGATGTCTTGGTATCTGGAAGATCTGCCCAATGTTCAAAGGTGAGCATCTTCAAAAGAAAGTTTAAAAAACCCAGAACAAAAATATTTCATTCGTCAGGGTTTTCCCCCTGCTATTCTTTTTTCATTTATACCCTCCTTCCCCCTTTCTACTCATCAACTACTATTTTTGTGATGATCCATGACCCATATGAAATGAAACTTAACTGTGAACTTATATTTTGAGTTTGAGTCTATGTAAATACATTTTAATCCATAAACTAAGTAACTAAAGTAAATGAAATTAAAAATTGTACTGAAATGAAGCTTTAAACTTGTATTTACAATTTTACATCCACCCTGCAGGTATTGGCTATGGTATGTTGGTGATCTGTTTCCTGGTGTCCATCTATTACCAAGTGATCCTAGCCTACACCATCTTCTACCTCTTCTCATCCCTGACGTCCATCCTCCCATGGGCAAGCTGTGGCCACCAGTGGAACACTGATAACTGCACTGACAGAATGCAGGATTCCAACTCAACCTTTAACATCAGCTCTCTGCTTAACCCCAAACCTCCCAGTGAGGAATACTTCTAGTAAGTTCATCTTTCAATGCTCAATCGGGGGAGGGAGGGTGACCAGATATTTGCCCCGTCGATGTTTGTTCCAAGCCTTATTTTGTCTAAGATGTCGGGTTTAGTTTGTGATGTGGTTTGGGATTAGGTTTACAGCGGTGGTTTGGGTTTAATAGGTATAGTGTTTAGGCCAGTGTAACTTGGAAATTGACTAGGGAGGGGGGAGGGGGGGGGGGGGATTGTTGCGAAAGCATATGTCATATGATCAAGGGAGTGAAGGACTGACTTCATAAGAGACAGACAGAGAGGAGAGGGAGACAGACAAACAGAGAGAGACAGAAAGAGAGACAAAAGATAGAAAGAGAAAGGGAGAGAGAGAGGGAGAGAGAAGAAGGGGGGGGGGGGCAAAAAAGAGAAGAGAAAGAAGTGGGAGTACTGAGGAAATAAGGAGGGTAAGAGAAAAATGGATTGATGGGTTGCCAATACAACAATGCAAATTACCCTGTCAGCAAAAGAGCCTACAACATTTTTCCTTTACTCAGGGCATTCGGGGGGCAGCTTTTGCTTGTCAGAAAGAAAAAAAAGTTTATCGACCTCAGGCATATGACCCGAGAAAGCCAAAGATGTACCTTTTATGGCAAACCTCAAATCAAATGACAAAACGGGTACATTCATCAAGAGGGAAACTTTATATGAGTTCTCTTGGTTTTTGAGCCAGCAAGGAAAACAGCTGTTGGGAGTATTGAATTGAGTGACATTGGATATGAATATATGGACATGCTGTTTATAACAATATTATTTTACCCATCCCGCATGTTTTTTCATGGGTTTAGGGTTCATTATCCAGTGATGAATGTAGTACAAAATTTGTAATGATTTTGTTACATAAGGAGTTGTCTCTGGCTTTGTATTGAATGCTTTTGTTATATTCCTTTTCTTGATAGCAACCATGTGCTAGGGATCAGCGACGGTGTTCATGATCTTGGTGCTGTGAAGTGGAAGCTTGCTCTATGTCTGATGGCTGCCTGGGTTATCACCTTCCTCTGTCTTATCAAAGGAATCAAGACCTCAGGAAAGGTACATCATCTTCAACTGCTTCTCAGACCATACTTAACCCCTCATTGTGTGCCGTGTTCCAAAAACAGGCAAACTTCCAAATGTCTAATTTTGAAGTCCATTGTCACCAGAAACCTCAAGATTTGACACGATAGTGAAGCCCTAGTGGAATAGATGATAACACCAAAATTGTAATTTCATATGTCAGTTTTCAAGTTGTTCAAGAACTACACAGTCTGTATAACTCATGTACGATTTGAATTACGACAGCTTTAAAGATGAAAATCCTTTACCAATATGAGTAACTGAAACTCCCCTTTCTTACTCATTGTGATCTGACGTTTGTCATTCTGTATATTCAAGTATTATGGTGTAATGTATTGATGTATGATGGATTGATCGTTCATTATCCCCTAACAGTACTCACTTACAGTTTGACTCATCAGGATCTTCTGTTGTCTCTTCATTTTCTTCCACCAGGTTGTATACTTGACGAGTACCTTCCCTACCTTGTCCTCTTCATCCTCTTCATCCGTGGAGTCACCCTTGACGGTGCCGTAGATGGAATCATCTTTTACATGAAACCAGATTTATCAAAGCTTCTAACGCCTCAGGTACGCCTCATTGTTAAAGCCCCACTGCACTACTTATAGCTACTTGCGCCCTCTATGTAACAAACCATGCATAATCGGACCATTGGTCCCCCAAGATCCTCTTTTTCTTAGGTTAATTGAGAGCTGATTTGATGAGCTCCAGTGACCTTGCAGGGTGGTCTAATCCCTTCTTTACACTAGTACAGATGGGCTTCAAATACATTCCGTGTAGACATCTGTAGCATGGCTTTAGAGATAGATATACTCTTGGACTGTATATTATACAAATTAAGCTAGGAAGGTGTACCGGTAACTTAAAAAAGAAAGAAATAGCTGTAATGTAAAAAGACTTGATAAAGAAGTATTCTCTGATATTTAAAGGTAAAGACCAGTTCTTTGTAAAGTTACAAGCACTATACACAGAAAGATGTATATGGGACTACCCTATATCTCTCACAGACCATGAGAGAAACAAATTTAACAAATATATGAATTAGTAGGCGGTTTCCCGGCAAATTTTTTATCATCATGTATTAGTCAAAACATATTCTTTCACATGATTGGTAATGAGAGCTTCCATTTCATTTTTTGAAATTGGGGCGTTTCCAATACTGGTCTTTACCTTTAATATCAACAGTTTTAATTTTTGGGAACGTTACAAAATTATCACCACAAAATTTAGTTCTCAGTAAATTGTGGGAGGTTTATGGAACATCTAATTCCAAGATTATATGATAAGGTCAATTGTATTTTTTTCTTCTAAATGAGCCTTTATAAACATCAACAAATTACTGTACTTTGGTACAAATTTTCTCACCTGTAGACAGGAAATTGTTTGCACGAAACACCATCTCACTAAAAGCAATGCAATTGTGTGAAAATATGGAACAAAATATTACAACAAACAAAAACGATATTTGCCAATACAAAAAAGTGTATTCCTGGGGTTATGTATTTGACGTTCTTGTAATTGTTTTCTCTTTGCAACCCTTTGCAGGTATGGCAGGATGCAGCAACACAGATCTTCTTTTCGTTGGGTGTAGCCTTTGGTTCTCTTCACACTCTCTCAAGTTATAACAAGTGGAAGAACAATTGTTACAGGTATGATTCAACTAGTGCTGTATTCAAACGTTTAACAATCCGGTATCTGACCGTCCATGGCACTATCCGTTTTCAGTTGGACATGTTTCGTTTTCATGTTTTTAAAAAAAAAATTATAATTATTATTATTTACTTTATTTTTTAATTTTTTTTATAGGAAAATCAAAAGAAATCTCTAGATTCAACCCTTTGATCCCCTATCACACCAACAAATCAGATACCATACTGACAAAAGACAGAAGACAAAATATAATACCCAGAATGAATAAGATCTTGTTTGTTATCAGTCAGTTCTTAGTCATGTAGCAGTGTGAATGGAGTAGTACCACAAATACACAATTCTGACAATGTTTGTATATTGCAGCGTTCCGTAAGCCATGATGTTAAGCCTGAGCTGACCCTTTATCAACCTTTGAAGAATATCTTAACTTATTTGAGTCAGAAGGACATTAACTCTTTGCTAGAAGATTAAATTAACACTCTTCTAGCTCTCAGCAAACTTTGGGGAGGGGGGGGGTCGAGGGGTGGGGGGTTTTGTACAAAGTCAAGTGTTAAACATGTCTTGTACAATTCTACTTGCAATTTTTTCATCCCTAGTTTTCTTTTCTCTTATTTCCCCATACAGGGATGCTTTGATAGTGTCCGTCATCAATTGCTTAACCAGCATCTTTGCTGGTTTTGTCATCTTTTCAGTACTTGGCTTTATGGCCAAACAAGCAGGCGTTACAGTTAAAGAAATAGCAACATCAGGTAAGAACACATGTCATGTTTTATATTGTCAGCATGCAAGAGGTCTGGCATGATTCTCTATTTATGAATTTTAGCAAACAACTCATGTCTACATACCTCACACCATTACCGGTAGCTAATCATGATTTAGGCTTAGTGGAATTGATTAACAGTGTTATAATCAGTAGAGTGAAACTTCTGTATTTGCCATTAGTTTTTATGGATCAAAGGTATTTTAGCAACAACTGGCAGCCACTGATTTACTTAATGTTAGAATGCTTATGAGTGTTCTAATTTGTATTTTCTTTAACGTTTCTATTTCAGGTCCTGGTCTAGCATTTGTAGCCTATCCTGAGGCCATTGCTAAGATGCCTATATCACCTCTGTGGTCTATTCTATTCTTTACTATGCTTTTTATGCTGGGACTTGGAAGTCAGGTAGTGCACAGTTTCATGCCATTTATTCATTTTTTACATGAGATGTGATAGTTCTTGCTAAATTTGAACAAAATAATAATTTCATATTAATTGTGTTATAGCTTCATTAAAGACCCTGTCGGAATTGAAAAATGAAATATATTAATTATATATCAAAGGAAAGCTTACAAGCCATTGATTACAATTATACTACTTTAGTACCTGTCAGACGAGTAATGGCTCTCTGAAATCTTGAAATCTAAAGCTTTGAAAATCAGGAGTTGTGTGTGTTCCCTTGCTTCATTGTTGGTAGAACAGCTGTGTTTGTTAAATGCAAATTATTAGAGAAATCAATAAAAGTACAGGTCAGCAATATAAAGGCCCTATTTTAGAAAACAATAGACAGGTTTCTTTTCCACCCCCTTTTTTTTTTTTTTGGGGGGGGGGGGGTTAAGAAATCAGAAATGTATCCAAAATGTATTAAATTGACTTGACAAATTGATACCATTTCATATTTCATTTTTGTTAGTGAACATAATGTTGTGTGTTGTGACTGCTTGCTATTTTATATTTTGCTCATTTTCTAAAACTTTTTTTTTCCCTTCCCAATCCAGTTCTGCCAGTTTGAGACTGTGAATACAGGATTGGCCGATGAGCTGGAGAAATACAGCCCAAAATTTAGAAAATACAAGTGGTGTATAACCCTTACTATGTCAATCGTATGCTTCCTCTTGGGTTTGCCACTGGTTTGTGAGGTAAGTCTTGAAACGTGCCCCCTCTCCCTCTCTTTCTCTCTACCCCCCCCCCCCCCTTGTCTCTTGCCTTGTCTCTGATAGTGTTCCTGTCTCCCCTCTCCAATTTCTTGATGTGTTATGTATTTGTCTGTATGTCTAAACAGCTCTTTCTTAAAGTGTACAAACTTTGATTATGAACATAACCAATGGAAAAATGTAGTTTTTAAGCTTCTACCAACCTTAAATAACCAATGGATTTTATATAAATCATTAAGAATCAAGTTTAACCCTACGTTAACTGGGGGGGGGGGGTCAATTTGACCCCCCCTGTAGAAATTTCGCGACTACTCCGAAACCGCGGCAGATATAAAATTTTCTTTTCATGACTTTTTTCTTTGAGTCTTACGCATCATTTAAAACGATTTTTTTTCGAAAATCGGACGTATAGTTACAAAGTCACGTGACCTCTTGTCTTCGCATGTCAGCCCGGAAATCGCTCATTTTTGTGATTTGTGTACAAAACATATGGAAATGTCATTTTTCCTAAAAAGAGATAAAACATTGGTTATTTAGTCTTGTTTAAAGTTTAGGTGTTTGTTTTGGGGTCAAAATAGTTGAATTGTAGTTATAAATAAATAAAACAACAAAAACAACAAAAACAAAATACATAAGTTAAAAAACAATGAAATACATAAGAAATTATCAAAACAAGAGATAACATGAGGAATAACCTGGCTCTTCCAATTTTTTGTGTTGTATTATTATTCCAAATGGTCTAACAAATATATGTAGTGAAAAAGAATGCTTAAATATGAATAATGTATGATTTATGGTCAAAAATGTGAATTTTATGACCTTATTTGCATAAATTACCATAAATATGCAAATGAGTGAATTTAAAAAAAAAAAATGAAATTACCATAGTATTCTATACACTTCACTTGACATGTATGCAAATTTTCGCGGCAATCGGCAGTGAAACGGTCTGAAATAGCCCAGTTAAAATAGGGTTAAACAAGAATCAAGTTTAAACAAAAACCCTGGAGATGAGTAAAAAAAATGTTTACCTGTCTTTCTCCCTTTCTTAGCATGCCAATAATGACCTAGTAGCTTGTAGTTTGTTTTAATCTTTACAAATATACTTGTGTAGGTTGAATTTGAAAATGCAATCACTTAACTGTTTTGAATGCTTTTCATTCTTGTCCCAAGGGTGGAATGTACCTTGTCAATCTGATGAATGATTTCTCTGGAGGACTCTCCCTCGTCTTCATTGGCATGTTTGAGACTATTGTCATTACTTGGTTCTATGGTAAGTACAACAAAATGTCAGACGTTGAAAAAACCTTGAAAAAACGGTATATGAAGTTTTGTTTATCTCCCCAAAAAATTACAAGATGCATTTGCCAACTCTAGTTGGCAACATAGCAAAATACTCAACAGAGCTTGCTATGCTCAAATTTTCTACAAATTTAGGATCTTTAAGGAGTATTTCACTTTGTATCGTCTCTTTGGTTTACTTGCTGTCCCTGATATTTACAACTCATTTATTATCATATTATAGCACCAAGTTTTAGATGTTAAATAGTACTATTATATGCTTAATAATACCTCTTATTCTCCATTTTATGTGTATTTTACAGGTGTTGAGAAATATCTTGATAATCTTGAAGCTATGCTTGGATTCCGTCTTAACTTCTTCTGGAAGGCGTGCTGGAAGTTTGTCTCGCCAGTATTCTTATTGGTAAGTTTTCACAATGATACCAAGATAAAATGTATTGAGACTGCATTCATAAGAATACTTCACTCTAGGCGTAATCATACATCTAATACCAATTGCGAACAGCATTTGTGTTAATAAATGAAACAAATTTGAGACATTTACAAACTACTCATTTCAAAGAGAATGAGATTGAATCAGGACTAGGATATATGAAAGCATGTAAAGTTATATATTTTCCATTTGGTGAAATGGAATTTGGCCATGAAAGATAAAAATGGAAGATTGTGTTAAAGACATTTGTCGCTTGAAATAAAATGTGTGAATCATCATAAAGATGAAATCAACTCTTGAAAATGATTTCATTGATTTTTTAAAAAGTGGAATTGCTTTTATATTTGATGATGATTTTATAATATATCATGTACTACCTTACTCTTCCACAGGTTGTTATAATCTTTTCGTTGGCAATGTATGAACCAAAGAAGTACGGAGCTAATTACATCTATCCTGGCTGGGCTGAGGCTATGGGTTGGATGATGACTCTAGTCTCATTGGTTCCCATTTTCGTTTATGCTGTCTGGTTTGTCTCGAAGCAGGATGCCCCCACTTTCAAAGAGGTAAGTCCGTCACATCAAAATATTGTTATGAGGGAACCGTCTCATAAACAGTTCAGGGGGTGTTTCACAAAGATTCTAAGTCGAACTTAACTCTAAGTTGGACTTAAATATTATGGAGAGCCATTGTAGCCTTACAATGTAATATATTCAAAAGCAAATTTTCAAGAATTTTAAGACTTTTCATAAATTCCACATCAAGAACAAAAATTTTTTCCATGATAATGGAAAATATGAATGATTTGAATCAACATTTTATGCCCTTTAAAATAACTTTTAAATAACGGCTTTCCATAATTGTTAAAGATAAAGACCAGTTATGGTCATGCGATTGTATTGTGAAAGAAACGTTGTGGAATTGATCAGAAAAGGTTGAATCTAGCATTTAAGTATTGGTGTGTCCTGCAAGGTTCTGGAATCATCAAAATGATAAGAAATTTGGCCCAGTGTTCGTAAAGGACTGTACACAGAAAGATTTATATGGGACTACGCACACGTGGGCGACACATGCGTTTATCTCTCACATACCAATAGATAAACTAATTTACCAAATATATCAATTAGTAGGCGGTTTCCCGGCAAAAAATGTTATCATCATGTATTAGTCAAAACATATTCTTTGACATGAGTGGTAATGAGAGCTTCCATTTCATTTTTTGAAATTTGGGCGTTTCCAATACTGGTCTTTACCTTTAAGTTCAACTAAGGATCTTTGTGAAACACCCCCCTCATCGATACAAATTGATCACATGTCCTCCAATCAGGACTACTGTCCGAATGATGGCGATTTCAAGTTGTGTTCCGATTAATCTAATTCAATCAAAGCTAACTTTAAAGAGAGACAAAGTCCCAGGATTAGTTGTGGGGCATCCCCGTTTAACTTGGGTAGCGATAGTCTAACAAATGAATTATATTCCATAAGATGTCAAAATAATGTTTAAATGAAAATGACAAGTTTTGATGTTGATTACAAAACAATTATCATATTGTACATGTTTTACTGTGATGTGATTTGCAAAAAAGGAACTCCAAATTGCATGCAAGTTTCTTGTACGAGGCCCATTGATGATAAATGTAGGTAATGCCACGCTTCTATTAAACTAGCATGGATATAACCAACAATTGAAAGAATTGGTGAATCTTTGATCCTGTAACCTTTTCCACCAACACTGCATTACCTACCTTCCCATTTTCCTAAAGAAGGGTTGAGTGTTTTTTATTATCATGTTTCAATTCTGATATTTGGTACTTGAAAGTTGTGATAAATATGAATTCTGTGTATGAATGATGAGTCAGATTTATGTGTGTTTACAAAATACGATTGGAGCTTTTTAAAATATGCATATTATTGTTCTGTATTTGTTAATGTTATTGGTTGTATCATGCTTTGTGCCATGTTGTTAATGCTACTGGTTTTACTTGCCAGTAAATTTGTTGTATCATTCCATCATTTCCATGAAATACATGTATGAACATGAGATATCTTTGAAGTAAAAAGTACAGTGTAATATGGAGTCATACCTGTTACTAGAAGCATTCAGGCCACTTTCAAAAGGTCAACTGTATTTTTGGAACATCAGGCATTTATACTCCCAAGAATTTAATGACCCTTTAACGTTCAATGGCACATGTTTATAATGGCTTATGTTGCTGTGTGAGTGGGGCCCCCAAGGGTGTCATTATCACAAGCATGTGTGAGATGGAATGCTGGACATATGAGTCCAATGCTTTGCGTTGGTACATGTATTCTATATGGGAATGTGTAGTATACATTTATATGTACATGTGCACTTTATATGGGAATGCTAAGGCTTCATTTAGTAAGTGATCAATTCAAATGACGAGAGATAATAGTGAGGACAGGAATTTGAGAGGGTGACTGAGTCACCAGTATAGAAATAATACATATACACATATTTTCTCAAAGGGCAGTGCAACATTTGGTCCATATTCTACTCATATTCACACCAACTTTTGGGTTTTTGTCTGAAATCAGTTTAACAAAGGAAGTTAGTCCGGGTCTTAGTTTTCCTTTTGTTATATGTGTTTTTAGACCCAGGGTCATATATGTCATGCAGGTTTAAAGCTAATCTTGAACTGGTTTGGGTATCGTATGTCGAGAGAACATGGCTATATTCATTCTGGGTTGTTTATAACCTGCAGTCGATCGATGGTTTGAACCATTGAAATAAAAATATCCTCACAAAAACTTGCTGGAAATCATCTACAATAAACAACTCTCATTTACACATGCATGGTGACCTGCGACGAGTACATGGTGTCGGGCTGTCTTGTGCCTTCTTACCACCTTGATTTCCCGATCTTTCTATGGTCATTACTCAACCCATAACCTTTAGGAACATGTCATTTATTTATAATCTTGAACATTCAGTGTAAGTTTTGTAGGATTCTGTGAGAAATTGAGAATTTATATTCCATCATTAAAACCGACTAGTTAGGCTTAGTGAGTAGACCTAGTTGCATTCGAGTGTAAAAGCAGGAGAAAAAAGACAAACAAGATAAGACTAGACAATTTAAGGTTAGTGCTTGCTCCAACTTTTCCAAGTCTCTAAGCAAATCTGAAATTTAAGCTAATCTAGGAGTATGAGTTATGAAATGTACGTGCTAGACCATTCTCCACTCATTTTTGAAGGATGTGTGGTAGGCCTATGCTGAAATTGAATAAGAAATACCATGAATACAGAGCTTATGAATTGAATCTTTCTTGGAGTTTTGGTGGCTCTGAAAAGAGCCGTTTTGATAAACGTATCATCAAATGAAGACAATATATTTAAGCACGCTCGCCACGGATACGGCGGGCCAGCTGGATGTCCTTGGGCATGATGGTGACACGCTTGGCGTGGATGGCGCACAGGTTGGTGTCCTCGAAAAGACCGACCAAGTAGGCTTCGCTAGCCTCCTGAAGAGCCATGATGGCAGAGCTCTGGAATCGGAGCTCGGTCTTGAAGTCCTGAGCGATCTCACGGACCAGACGCTGGAAGGGGAGCTTGCGGATGAGCAGCTCGGTGCTCTTCTGGTAGCGACGGATCTCACGGAGAGCGACGGTTCCGGGCCTGTAACGATGGGGCTTCTTGACTCCGCCGGTGGCTGGGGCGGACTTGCGAGCTGCCTTGGTGGCAAGCTGCTTGCGAGGAGCCTTTCCTCCGGTAGATTTACGTGCTGTCTGCTTGGTACGGGCCATTGTTGTTTGTTCGTTGATTCAACTGATAAATTTTTGAAGTTGCCGCGTTGTATTTATACCTCCAGAGTGCTTCATGCTGATTGGCCAAGACCAATGAATAAGCGTTCGATCGTTCGTCATTGGTCGTTTCCGCTACGGGTCGCTGCCTCATGCATTATGCATTGGATAGTGCGGTCCATCTGTTCGCTTATAGCACGAAAAATGGGATCATATTTTGTGGATTATGAGGGCTTTCCACACAGTAACCGACACATTATTGGAATCATATCATCAAGTAAAAAAAAGTGCGCCAAATCACACCAGTTTTTAAAGATTGTATTGCTTAATTAATATTTTAGAAGGAATTTCTTAAATCGCGTTCCATTTTGAGGCGATCGCCCGTCTCATGTATTATTCATAAACCAGACAAGTGCGTACCAGTACATGCTGTAGCACCCACATCTTTTTTTCTTCCAAAATCTCTCATTCGGGAAATAAAAATAACATTTATTATATTCGTGTCATTATAAGATGACTAAATACACAGTCTTTAACACGTAATTTTGTTTGACTTTGTACATTTGAGTGATTATGAGCGATATAACTTTTCACACGCACCGTAAAACGGATTCAGTGCCTAATGCATTATGCATGAGTCACCATTTCGCTCTTGGCGGTAAATTGGAACAAGCGGGTTGTGTGACGGGTCGCCGGTTTTGCGGAACAAAGGATTGGTATTGGGTCGGTCCCTCGCGTTCGCATAGAGGGTATATATACCAGCGGAAATCCAGAACAAGTATCAGTTTGAAAATATCTCAAACGATTCATCAACATGTCTGGACGTGGTAAAGGAGGAAAGGGACTTGGAAAGGGAGGCGCCAAGCGTCATCGCAAGGTTTTGCGTGATAACATCCAGGGAATCACCAAGCCAGCCATCCGTCGTCTTGCTCGACGTGGAGGAGTCAAACGTATCAGCGGTCTCATCTACGAAGAGACCCGTGGAGTCCTCAAGGTCTTCCTTGAGAACGTCATCCGTGATGCCGTCACCTATTGCGAGCACGCCAAGAGGAAGACCGTCACCGCCATGGACGTCGTCTACGCCCTGAAGCGACAGGGACGTACCCTCTACGGATTCGGAGGTTAAGAAGTTACTCTTCTGACCAACAACTCAAACGGCTCTTTTTAGAGCCACCAAATATTCAAGAAAGATTCAAATGTTCGATTCTTAAGTAATCTTGAAGTCTAAATAATAATAATATTCAATTTTTATAATTCTCAGGGTCCTATTCTTAATCACGTTGCTATCTTTATCTAATCAGTCTGTACCAAACAAGGGGGCAATGAAAGCCATATGGAACGATGATAGAAATGATTAATTAACTCGTCCGTTGATGAATTAATATAAATGAAGTTTGAAGCAATGGCCATAGTGAGCATAAATGGGTCCAAGATGGAAATAAGGAGAAGGCCAGATTAGAAAGAAAATTGAAATCAAAATTCACAAACCATGAGAAGGCGCCACCTTTATGGTGGGGGTAAGGGAAAAGGTAGATTACATTACAATTACATATTATCTGTTTATAATTTGTAATCATGATCTCCCCCCCCCGGCTCGGATTTCTAAACTTTTTTAGTTTTTTTTAACCTTCACTATCACACCTGGGTGGAACAGGAAGTAGATGTTTTTCTTTTGAGTGTGTGTTTGAATCTATTTTCAAATATGCTAATCAGGGTTCTCATATCCCTGAGCTAATCATGATGTGTGATAAGGGGAGGGGAGGAGGGTCGAAGAAATAAACAGCATAAGGAGGTCATAAAGTTTCCAAACAGCCAATCAAATTACGTAACCATCGCGTAATACGATTATTTTATTTGAAAAGTTTTCAACCTTCAAAGTTTAATATGTAAATATCAGGATCAGAGTCTTCAAAGCTGACCACATGCATTTCTCCATCAAAAGAAAAGTTGGCACGAAATGTGACAAATTTAAAAATACATGTTTCCTAGTCAAATTATATTGTTATATTAGGTGTACCGTGTGTGTGTGTAAATTTTTGACCACAACGGTACCTTTATCAAAGTCTGCTGATGCTTGTATGTATTTCAATTAATTTGTGCATGAATATATGGCTGTGAAATTAGATGTGTATAGTGTAGAATTAGTAGAAGAGAGACGTGTGGGAAAAAAACCTGTCCCGGCCCGGTAAGAAAAATGTGGACTTCTGAAGCATGTGTAATGATGTAATAATTTATCTTGCATATTTATCTGTGGTACATTGCTATTTATCACTTTATCACTTACTATGATTAATGTTTTCTTTTATCCCTAAGAAGCTACTACGTAATGCTAACCATTTTCCTCCATTTTATTTCATTCCATTTCATCAATGCAGAAGCTCCGCATGGCATCGCGTCCCGCTCCTGACTTTGGCCCCGTGCTCAATCACCACCGCAAAGAAGCTGGTTTCGCACCTTTACCGAGGCGTAGAAACAAGACAACCGAGACCAGCAACACCTTCGTCTGAAGCGGGCCGGCCGGCCACACACCATTCAGGAGTCATTAAGCAGGATGCATTCGATTTTCAACACAAGCAGGGGGGGGGGGGCTACAACCCCCCCCCCCCCCCGTCTAACGACGCCCCTACACACCCCTTCACCATCTATTGGGTTTTGAAGATTTGAATGAAAACCTAAAAGGCTGTGTGTTCTTAGTCTCGAATGCATCCATCTTCATTTTAGAATCCTGCTTAAAAAAGAAAAAGAACAATGAATAAAAGAAAAATGAATAAAAGAAAAATGAATAAAAGAAAGAAAAAAAAAGAAAAAAAAAAAAAACAGGGAGCATGATCCCTTATCAGTATTTAGTCTTACATAGAGCATAATAACCCTGGAGATGATTATAGAATCAACTGTCATGCTAATTTCATGCTTTCATTAAGAGGTTTGAACAAAATGATCATATGATGTTATAAACATGCTGGTAGAATCTGCAGTTATAACCTTGGCCACATACATAATACAAAACTACATCTATTTTGTGGTTAAATCGATTTAGACGGTAGGCTGCAAACCTTGACTGAAAAAAATAACTCTGGCTGAGTGTATGAGTGCACTGCACAAATATGTACATGTAGGCTGAGCATATTATGCGTCCAAAAGTTGAGACTGGAAGTCCTAGAGATATATTTTTCTACAATTGCATTTATCCTCAAAGCTCACTCTACCTTGTTAAGAGTTTTATCAACAATATGTTGTGACAAAATAATAGATGGAGCATATGATATTGAAATCGTAGTAGAGTAGAGAACGGTATTATAAATATTTGTTGTTCTTCTCTCTTTAACATTTTGTTCACAAGATAGTACACTTATTTTAGAATGAAAACAATATTACTTTACTTTTATTTTTCATATATATGCGTAAATATATAGGTCTAGATACGGTACTGCAGGGTTGAGGTATACTTGTATTCTTTCAAGTTTCAAGTTTATTTGTTTCACATTTCACAAAAAAGAATTCACATAATTGACAAAATTAGAACATAATATGGAATATACTAAAAGTGTCACATTATATAATTAATTCTTTGAAAAGACGTCGAAATTCATTGTATTGAAATTGAATAGGAGGTTATACAGGGTGAAATGTGAGGAACCTATTAAAAATATTTGTAAGCACTTCTTCGGTCTGTTGTGGACAAAGGGAACAGAAGAAGAATTTTTTTATAGTATAATCAGTCCTTTTCAAATCAGATAAATGAGGCAGTTAGTTGTCACAGTGTTTTTGCAGCACTATTCTGTCCCATCTCCCCCTCCCCCCCCCCCAAAAAAAAGTAGCTGGGAATATGAAACAAACTTTATTTACAATAGATGCAATTGGAAGAAAAAAAACAGTGTAGTGTCTTATTTTAACATTTAATATTAATAATGTGCAATACAGCTTGCGAATGTAAACCTAAATACATTTGACACAGTTTTGGATGTAAATGTTCCCAGTCATTTTACATTCAACAGCATCTAGACTTTGGCTGAAAAATGTGCAGGGTAGGGTACAGCATATACATATATAACTGAAATGCATTAGAAATACTGGTAGATAATTTAAAGCAAAATGGAGGTACAGGATATGACATTCTTCCCCGTTGTTTCGTACAGTTATTTATTATTGTTATTTTCTTCTGATATTAGTGTTTTTATACTCACTTTGTATGTCTGATATGAAAGCGTCTATCTGCATACTATAAGAATATTTATTCATCATGAAATTGCATTATTGTAAGAACCGATATCTGTTAAATTTGCGACTACCGGTAGAGGATATAGGAAACTTACTTGGTAAAGCTCTGAAAAACTCTTTTTAAGTTTTTGAATGTTAATGTAGAGCCAATTCCTTTGGAATTATTGTTGTTATTATTGCTCAGTTTTTTTAAATTCATATAGGCATATATGTATTTGTTTTATTTATTTATTTATTATTATCACATTTTAAACTTAGAATTGATCTGATATAAATCTTTTCAAAAGAATAAGTCATCGTGCTATAGTAGTCTCAAAGTAAAAAGCAATTTAATTTCAATGCAATGTATTTATTCTGGTTAAAGATGACAGTCCATTATACCATCATTTTAAGATAATGATAACCATTTTTTTTCTGTTCATTTTACCAATATGATCAATGTAATTTTTTCTTTTTCTTTCTTTATTTTCCAATTATATAGAAGTCATTTCCATACCCGTGTAGTATGTACAGTAGGAGAGATATATTTGACAGATGAAGTTTTATTCTATTATTACTGCCTATAATACACATACATGT